CATCGAACACTACGACCAGGCGCCCCCCGAAGCCGCCCGGGCCGGCATTGCGGCGCTCGACGCGGCCCAGGCTCGCTAGACGAGCGTGTCGAAGCTCGTGATGGCCATCATCACGGCGACCATGACGAAGCCGATGACGGCACCGATCAGCAGGATGGCGATCGGCTCGATCAGGCCGAGCATGCGCTTTTGCAGCACCGCGGCGGCGTCGCGCTGGCTGTGGCCCAGGGCCAGCAGCATGCGCGGCAGCTCGCCGGAGCGCTCGCCCACACGGATCAGGTTGAGCCGCGTGCGCGGGAACCAGGGCTGCGTCTCCAGGCCCGCGCTCAGGCTCTGGCCTTGCTGCAGGCCCTTGGTGGCGCGCTCCAGGCCGAGGCGCAGCCGGTCGAGCCGGATCACGCCCTGGGCCAGCTCCATCGCGGTCAGGATGGGCACACGGTTGGACAGCAGGCTGCCCAGGACCGTCGCCCAGCGGCCGATCTCGGCCTGCACGAGCCAGGGGCCCACGACCGGCACACTGAGCAGCGCCTGCAGCAGCGCGCGCCGCGTCGACGCCCGCGACAGGCTGGTGACCACCAGGCCAATGACGGCCGCCAGGATCAGCAGCGCCTCGAACAGGTGGCCGCGCACATAGACGCCGGACTCGATCACCCAGCGCGACAGCTCGGGGACCTGCCGGCTGCCCTTGATCAGGTTCGCAAAGCGCGGCACCACGCCGACGAAGATGAACAGCACCGCCAGCGACCCCGCGCCCACGAGCACGCTCGGGTAGATGAGTGCGCTGCGCAAGTCTTCGTTGGCCTTGCGGCTGAGTTCGAGCTGCTCGGCCGACTCCTGCAACGCGCGGGCGATGTCGCCGCTGGCTTCGCCGGCCTGCGCCAGCGCGATGACGTAGACCGGCATCTGCAGCGTGTCGATGCGCAGCGCGTCGGACAGGCGCCCGCCACCGCGCACCAGCGACTCCATTTGCGCCAGCGGCGCCCCCAGCGGCTGGCCTTCGTAGGCCTGCACGAGGCTGGGCAGCGCATCGCCCAGCGTCACACCGGCGGTCAGCAGCGTGGCCAGTTCGCGCAGCAGCACGACCTGGTCGGCCAGCTTGATGCGACCGCCGCCAACGCGCTTCACCGGCGCGGCGTTGCGGGCCTGCAGGCTGGTGGGCGTCATGCCCTGCGCGGCGAGCCGGGCGATGGCGTTCGCCGAATCCGTCGCCTCCAGCTGGCCGCTGTGCGGCTGGCCGGCGGCATCGCGGGCGGTGTAGTCGAATCGCATCAGGCCTCAGCCGTGCCGGTCGCGCGCAGCACTTCGTCCATCATCGTGACGCCCTGCACCACGCGCAGCGCGCCCTCTTCCGCGAGCGACCGGTAGCCGCTCTGGCGCGCCATCGCGACGAGTTCCGGCAGGCCGACTTCGCGCGAGATCGCGTGCTGCATCTCGCTGCCCACGTCCATCATCTCGTAGATGCCGACGCGGCCCTTGAAACCCGTGTTCTGGCAGGCCGGGCAGCCCACGGCGCGGCGCCAGCGCGGC